TTTCTTGTTTGTTTATTTCTTGATCAAAAACTTTCAGTTGTTTTGTCTTCCTAAATTATGGTTATTGTCTATGTCTTTACTCTAACAAAGGCAATTTATTTTAATATTACAAAAACACAATTGAGATATTTTAAACTTTTTGGAAAACTTTTAAGGGTTACAGCATGAGACATGTTAATATCATAGTCATAAGCTCAGGATTTTAAGTTTCCTTTGGTTGTCCTTTAAGTATAGACTTATTATGCTAAAATTATATACATCCAGTCTTCCACACAGAAGAAGCTCCTCTTTTATGTTTTATAGTCAAACTAAACAATGATCATGCTTTTAACCTAAAGCCATTTTCAAGGCTGCTACTATGACACAAAATGTGAGTTTATTGCCTTCTCTACTATATGGGTTTTAGTAAACTTAAAATAAATTCTTTTAAGCTTCAGACGATCATCTTGGATCCATCTCCCACAGGTCGAATGGACTACAGATATCTGTCTGTAGAAATTGTATACATCAATAACCATAAGTTTACAACTATCTTTAAGAAAAGATTAAATAGTGCTCATATTAATTTGATCACTATGCTTTAGTTAATATGAAACTAACATTTTGCCATTTAGAACTAAAATTATTAAGGTCCATGTAAATAAGCCAACTAGTTCATATATTTACCCTTTTCAAATACAATCTGTAATTACTAAATTAATAAAAACACAAAATTATGATAAAGACAAAGGCTTCCAAGATTCTAATGTACTATATTTTGCTCTAGAAAAATTTCCTATAAGCATGCTCTTATAAATAGGTATGCTTCTGGCATCAATAATCTAATTAAATGTCTGTGTTCTTCATTTAATAGAAATAAACTGCAAACTATCTATACTTTTATATTTTCCAGTAAATACATTAAAAGCTAACAAGAAATAAGTAAAAGTCGTTTTAGTATATTTTCTTTTTATTTACTAGTATATCTAATGTGTTATTTCAATGAAAAATAGGTATAAAAATTAATTGAGAGATATATTTTCTCCTCTTTTATTTTGTTTTTATTATTTATTTTGTTTTTATTATTTAGTCTTCAATTGATGTGATGGAGGTTAGCTCATATATTTGAGCCAGTTTATTTTACACAGGTCACATTGGTTAGCATGACATTTTCTTTCTCACCTACTCTAAGCAGGTGGGGTAAATGATGTTTTATTTACATCAAACATTTTAAATGTAAATGAAGCAGGTAACACAGCTGCTAAAAATACACTAGGTTTTAGAAAGTACTTCTGAATTAAATCAATGTATATATTCTGAGAATATGTCAACTTCAGAATAAAAGTAAATAAAAATATATGCTAAAGAAGAGTTTTTTTCTTTTTTTCAACAGGAAGCAAAAACATGTGGATTCCTTCAAAATTAATAAAAATTACATTTGTCCAGGAAAGACTTCCTGGAAATCCTGTCTATAGACATGGAGGAAGAGACCCAGGAAAAACAAACAGGTGATGTAAATTCTGATCACTCTATATGGGAACAGCTCAAAAGACCAGCTAAGACAGGAATGTCTCTGCATAGCCAACAAATCTCTTTGGCTAGTTGGACCTCATGACTTATTACATGCCATCCTTTTATATGGCACAGATGGAGATTTATATTACAGTCTGGCTATTCAATCCACATTAATTTACAAAGTTTGATGCCTGTCACATGCTCACAGAGTAGAGAATCATTACTTGATTTGCACATACCACGCATTCCGTGTATATGTTAATGCAGAAATGTACCTACAATGTTACCCTTAAAGGAACAAAAGGACTGAGGAGGCAGAGAAGGCACCACCACCACCAGAACAACTCCTGGAAGGACATTATTACCTGGTGGCCACTGCTCAGGCCATGTGACCCACAGGCTTTCCTTTCATCTATTCTTACGGATGTTTTTGTTATTCTCTATTCTAACCTTGCCACTACTAAACCTCTTATTAGCCCTCCCAAAACCCACCCCTGGAGATTCTTTGCTAGGCAGACCTACAATGAAAACAACAAATTCGGAGGAACCCAGAACTGCCCACTTGACGGACGCAGGACCAGGACTGCGATTTCTCTGTACTCCAATTTCATCTCCACTATCTCCAGCCCTTCCCTCTTCTTTCTTTACCACAACACAGGTGGTTGCCTCCAGGAGGCCTTCATATATGGAGTTTGCTGACATTGGGGATGTTGTATTAAATCTACCGGTCGTGGTGGCACCATGCTCGCCAATCTTAAAACTTATTTTCAGCTTTCCCACAGTCATCCCTGGGATGAACAATGCAAATGGGAGTTAGGGTAAGCTCTACCCTAATGGCTATGCTAAATACCCCATAGCCTGCCTACACATCTCTTGCCAGCTTGTCCCTGTCTCCAAATTGGTCTTTACCCACATTAATATTCTTCAGCAGGAAAATCAAACTCAGAAGGAGGTGCAAGGCACGTTTTCCTGGCTACAACGTATCCAATATACAGCCTCTCTCCACCCACTCCAACTCCTCTCAATGTTTCTTCTTGCTTCCTTCTTCCAGTTGTTGTTGGAAGCTGTTCCCATTAACATACCAATTCATAAGCCCCATGGACCCCTACCCACAGGAAAGCCACAATACATTCCTCTCTTCAATCTACCCCCCCTTTACCTTGTAGGGTTCTTTTCAAGATCAAATCTTATATGTTTCTGTAACATCACTGTCACCAAGCCAAAATGTATTAGCTCCCCACCCCGCCCTTTTCTGGTGAAATAATACTACCTGCTCCTGCATTAAGACCCCCTTTCAAGGTTTCTGCACCCCTGTTTCCTAGGTTTAGCTCTACGAGCCTGATGAACTTGCTTTACAGCTAGGAGGAAATTGAAAGAAAAGAGATCTTCATCCCTCTGCTCATTGGATTGGGCCTCACCATCTCTCTGGGTGCTATGGGAACCGCTGGAGCAGCCATCATCCAAACATACCATCTGGCTAGTGACTTCTAGGACAAGCTTGACCAGGCAATGGCTTCCACTACACACAGTTTTGAGTCCCTTCAGGGAGAGATCACCTTTCTAGTGTGAGTTGTTCTCCAAAATTGGAGATCTTTGGATTACTTTAGGTAATCTCCTAAAGACCCATTGACTCTATCAGCAGAAAGTAGATAACAGAGGTCTATAGCCCTTTTCCCAGTACTCTCTTATGTAAGGTTTGGGGGGAGAGGTTGGAAGAGAGGTAAAGGTGTTTAAGAACCTTAAATAAAGTAGGGTTGGTGAAAAATCTAGGTGTAAGTTCTGGATGACACTGTGGGCATTGTTGGAAATCAGTAAAATTGACAACATTTGAGATCTGTTCATCAAAATACAAGAAAAAGAAGCAAATATCTCTTGAAACAGAAATCTACTAACATGTCCCTCCAATCTGGGGCCAGTTTAAAAACTGAGTAAATCTCAGAGTTGATTAAAACAATAGTGAGAAACAGTTGCTTCTCTACATTACACAGGAGCTTGAGAGAAATTATGTACTGTACTTTTGCACACTATAACAAAGTAAGTTTAGACACATACAGTGCTAAATAGAAAACAGAGTCACCTCCAGGTCTCCCTGCCTCATCCTTCCTTCTCTCCTCCACATCTGTCTGCTGTGCCATGACACCCTCAGGAGAGTAAAGCTCAGAATAATAACCCATGTCCTCGTGCCTCATGGACACCATAAGGAAATATCTAAATGCTCCAATGGCTTTTTTTTTTTTTTTTGGCGGGGGCTGTATTCTCTACCAGAAAGTATAAAGGAAGGACCTGTGCTCTTAGAGTGAAAGACTACCTCCTTCACAAGAGGTGAGTCCCAGGCACTAGCACATGCGTGTGAGTACAGGTACCTGGGAGGTCAGAGGCATCAGATCACCCAGAGCTGCAGTCATAGGTGGCTGTGAGAATTTTGATGTGGGTACAGGGAACCAGACTCAGCTCCTGAGCAAGAGTAGCACATGCTCTTAACTGCTGAGCCATCTCTTCATCCCCGCGAAGCTTGCCTTTTATAAGACATGCTTGCTAATTCAGAAAACCATAACAGCCTGGAAGTTAACTGCAGAAAGCCCTTCAGTCAGGTTGTCTACTTTCTCTTTGAAATTGTTTAGGTTTGGACCATCATGCAATGGCCCATGTATTAAAATCTTGGTCTTCAGCAAGGGGCTGTTGAAATGTGGAGAAATAGTAAGAGGTAAGCAATTGAGGGCATATTTGGGGCCCCATGGGTAAGCCCTTGGAAGAGACACTAGGTCCCTGGCCTCTTCCATTTTTTTCTCTCTGCTTCCCAGCCACTGTGACATCAGTAGTATCCGTTCTGTGAGTTTCTTCCCCAAAGTGCTGCATGGTCTCAGGCCCAAAACAGCAGGGCTGAGTGATCATGGCCTGAGACCTCTGGAAACATGAGTAAAAAAAGCCTTTCCTTCTTGGTAACAAAGCTGTCAGCTTAACTATCCCATGAATATTCTGGTGGCCACAGAGCTGCTAAGACTGTACCTGCCTTCACTCTGCTCTAGCCTGCAGACATTCTCTCTTTATCACTGTAAATTACCAGTGTATTGACCTCCGCCCAGCACCTTTCCTCCCTTTGGCCTCTCCATCTTTAGGGATTCATGCCATTTTTATGCTATTGAGTTTCATTACAATGAAATGGTTGCCTCAAATGTGTGAGAGGCCCTCTGAGATACAACCTTATCTTCACAAAGTGCCTTTGAAAGAACTGGCTTTCCCAAATGCTTGCCCTTAAGATCACCTTTGAATTGTTAAAGAAAAGAAACCATCTTTGCTACATTTTAAAAAACTTTTTATTGATTCTTAGTGAGTTTCACACGTACACCCCAAATCTCACACATTTCCCCATCCCCTCATATCTATAGATGCCCTCAGCCCCTGCAACCTCCCCCCTAAGTTAAAACACACACACACACACACACACACACACACACACGCAACACAAAACAAAAATAAAAATAAAAAAAAGCAAAGCATAGAAAACATCTCATTGGGGAAGGTATGGTTTATACATCAGAGTGTGTGCCACAAATCAGTGCTCTGAACAAAATTACTCCTGTGGCACGAGTAAATATCCATGGAGATAACCTAGAACCCTGACAATGCAGCCACTTCTGATGAGAACTGATAGACTAAGATCAGAAAGAAGGAGAGTAGGACCTCCCCTATCAGTGGACTTGGGGAGGGGCATGCATGCAGAAAGGGGGAGAGGGTGGAACCGGGAGGGAGGAGGGAGGGGCTTATGGGGGATACAAAATGAATAAAGTGTAATTAATAAAAGTTAAAAAAAAGAAAAAAAAAGAAAGGAGGGACTGAAAACAAGAAATGACATGTTAATGAGGAGTCTAGTCTTGGAAGCATCATGTCTACATTAAAACAGAGTTAAAAACTCCTAAATAGACAAAGACATATGCAGCTGTCTTACATTGAAAAAGGACAATTGTCCCAATGTGGCATGACCAGGATGCATATTTTCATCTCTACATACCTCCAATACCAAATCATAAACTTAATAGAATTAAATACTGTTTTGGAATCGGAAACTTTTACAGCTATTTGAAGTTATGTCAAAAACACACTTCCCTTGATTGAGTTGAAACAGAAAATTGTGTTTGAAAATGAAGGCAGCTTTACAGTTCAGTGTGGGGACACTGTAGAAGCCTTTCATGGGAAAATGTTAAGTGCTACCACAATGTTCTGAAAATGTTATCAGTAATTATTTTTATCATGAGTAAATATTTTTAAGGTGCTTGAAAAAAAATAGTTCTTACAGTATTGCTCATGATTCAAAACAAGTGAAAGTGTACATTCTATTTATGGGATTGGGCCAGCCAGTAGAAAACTCATTACAGCTTCGTTTTCACTTCTCCACCATTCTCAAGTTCGGGACTTCTGTGCACGTCCATGCACTCGCTTTCCTTCTCTGTGAGCTTCATCTCTGCAGGTTCAGTTTCCAAAGAGGCAACATCACCAGGGAGTTGGAGCTTCCTCACAAGCATTAGAATGAAGAATGCAGGGAGATAGCCTGATCCTCTTTGTGCTGCAGGCACCCCAAAGTAAATGCGCCTATTGAAAAGAGCTCATCTGTATTAAATATTTTTTCTCTTTTTTATTTTTATTTTTTTCTTTATTAATTACACTTTATTCACTTTGTATCCCCTCTGTGGTTCCCTTACTCCTCCCGTCTCAATCCCTCCCTTCCTTCACCCTCTGCATGCAGGCCCCTCCTGTATTAAATCTTAATGTGTTTAGTGGAAGCTAATTTTGTATACTCTAATAGGTCCTTTATTCTTTGAAGATTATTCTTTGGTGATTATTTTTCCCATGTACTTTATATAATGTACTTTGGAGAGTTATTAATTCTATTTGTTAAAATGCCAAAAAAAACTTCAACCACAAAACTTTAAATGTATTTTGTTTATTTTGGTGATGGCTAGTTTCCATTGTCAGTCTGACTGAATTTATGATCAATATAGAAATACATCTATGGGTGTATCTATGAAGATGTTTTTAGAAAGATTCAGCTGGCAAAAAGTGAGGACCATGCACTGAGCTTCTAGTACTAGGTGCTTCCTGACAGAGCCTGGAACATGGCTGCACTCAAACTCTCCTAACATATCTCCTCTGTCACTCCCTTACGCTAGGTCACCACAGTTCCTCTGCCATTACTGCCTGTTCTCTGAAATACTGACCCCCCAAATTCCTATATTACATTAAGGGAACTCTTCTGTTTTGTTTGCTCATGTTTTGATTGCACATGTATAAAAATGATCAAGTCGCTTTCCCAGTCTTCTCTCCTACTCAGCATTGGTATGCTATGTTCCACCAACAGATTTTTGTGATGTTGAAAACCTTTTACACCTCAAATTTTGGCAGCCAAACCGTGAAACTGGGTGAGCTGCCCCGGAGCAAGAGTCAGTTCAAGACTTGTCCAAAACCCCAAAATGTTGTCTTCTGACTGGCAAGAATAGCACTGTTCCCTCCTTGTCCTGGGCCGGCGTGTTCTGGTACATACAGCTTTATGGCTGACCCTCATTTCTGCCACCCTTGAGGCAGTCACAAAGCCCAGGGCCGTGTGATTCTAGATTGTATGATCTGTACAACACTATGCATCACACCGTATTTTAAATTATATAGGTCAAATTTCTTCTCTCCTCATATGGGCGTGTCCAGCAAGCACCTGGAATTCCTCTTCATGCAAATGAAGCATTCTCAGCACCTCAACTCCAACCAATGATGTGTATGCATCCCCAAAACCCCTACCCACTCCCCAAGGTTTATGTAGCCCTTGTCCCCATCTCCCCCAGTGAGGTAGCTGATTCACTGAAAACTGTCTCTGGAGAAGTCTGTTTCTCCAGCACTCAGGCCAACTAAGACCCTGTCTGCACCCTCTTCCCCTAGTTGCCTGGTGTGCAATGTACTTGGATATCCTGAGGGGCAAAAGTATAAAATAAATCCTAGGAGTCACTATTATATATTAGTAGATTCAATTTTTTCATTTGCATGCATAATTTTGCATGTTTAAACATGAAGACTGTAACAGCTTCCTAGAATGAATTAGGTATTTTTTTTCCTTTTTACTGTTATAAGACACCTATTTTTTTTTTTTTTTTTTTTTTTTTTGTAAATTTGATAAAGTATGCCTTAATGTTTTTGGGATTAATGTGTTTGGAAATGTGTATTTTGGCATATGCACATTTCTAAATAACCATGCAAGTATTCCTTCCTGTTCTCAACATATTTATAGTAAAATCTGGTATAATGCATAATGTTGTCAACTTCATACAATCTAGAATCTCCTGGGAAGGGAGTGTCCGTGAAGACCTGTGTGGATTATGTTGGCCTGTGAACATGACCATGGGACATTTTCCTAATTACATTCATTGGGGTAGGAAGCACCAGGCCACAGCGGGCAGCAACGTGCTTCAGGCAGGAAACTCAGGAATACAGAAGAAGAACAAATGTTCATGGCTACTGTTACAGAAGCAATATATAGCTATAGTACATATGTGTAGATGCTTAAAACTTCAGATAGAACAGTCTAGAAATGTAATTAATTATCTTTCTAGATGGATAGTAGATTAAGAAATATCTTAGTTTATTTCTCTGTCACTGGTATGAAGACCCTGAGAAGATAATTTGTCTCACAATTCTGGGACGCAGTCCACCACCGTGGAGATGTATAGGCTGCTGAAACTTAACACTCGCACGGACACACTGACTGCAGCTAAATCCTTCTACACTGTTACTATGGGAATCCCAGGCTAAGAATGGGATCTCGGCTATTTCCAAAATACACACTTTGGGGCAGGGCAGTTGTCAAGCCCGTATTTTCTCCCAGAATTTTTCAGTATAATGCACAACCTGAAACATCGGATGAGGATCATACCCAGAGAGAGGACAATTTTCTTTTGGCTGAAAAGGTTATAGGAGCAAGGAGGAGTTTTTGCTACAATGCATTCTGTAGCAAACAAAGATCCTCTGTGGGCTTCCTTGGGAATGCTACCCTAGAGGGCAAGCAGGGCAATATCCAAAGTCTGTTTCAAGGTCACCTGGTATAACCCCTAGGGGTGGGGCAGCAGTGAACTCACAGTTCTTACACTGTGCTGTTAGTGACAGGGGCCTGCTTAGTGTGGAAAGTGGTGTGAACCATGTAAGTAATAGGTTTTAGACCAAACAACAGCATGCTGAATGCTTCTGGATATTACATAGTGGACTACCTAGTCTCTGGGTTCTTTAAGATAGTGGCTCCAGGTGTTTCTCTGTGTGGCTTACTCCTCTCCCTTATGGCACTCTCAATGGGTTTGTAACACAGTCACTCCTCTGAGCCTAGGTGTGTTGGCAAGGCAGCTAACCACTAAGTGCATGGGATGTCCATGGGTTCCCAGAGATGAGACCGCCAGTCAAATTTAAACATCGAGTTCCTTCTCAATATAGCCCCTGTGTACAGCACAAGCCAAGTTTTGTTAAACTGCATGCTACTACACAGATTTGGAGTTCTCCTACCGTCATGCTGTAAGCATGAAAGGGCTGTGAACTTTCCAGGAGTCAGAATTCCAGAATCCATGCTGCCCTGAATGTATTGGGATTCTTTCATCTCAACCCCTGCAGAAAATTCCTCCTCTCTGTCCATAAATAAGGTGTGCTTAAGAAATACAAGATTTTGTTCATGTCTATAGCTTACTTGTCCTCCGTCTCTGAATGCTGCTGTCCTGTTTATCTCCAGTGCCCTGCCATACTAGCTCAGCTCAAGATGCAGCTCTCTCCCCTGCTACTCCAGGACCTCTATTCAGACACTTGCTAACTCTCTAAAGCACTCTGAAGGGATTTAGAAAAGCCACTCATGCTTAATCACTGTAGGAATAATGAGGAAAATATAAACATATATAAATAAGGAAAATATAACATCCATGCACATTATGAAAATGAAGCCAAATATATTCTTATCACTTAAGATAATTTTAGGTAAGAATAGAAACATTTCTATGTTACATAATTAGGTCACAAAAGTTATCTTTACCTGAAACTATTTATATCGTACATCCTGCATGCCCCTGGCTCACCACATTTCAGAGTTCCCCAGTGTAAACATGTTCTGTCTATCAAAGCCCCAAAGTAAACAGGGGCTGGAATGCCAGCTGCAATGAAAAGAGAAAAATAAATAAAACCAATCTCAAACAAATCAACAACAACAGAAAAACCCGAGCCCGTTTACAGCAATAAAGAGAGAGAGAGAGAGAGATATTTGTTATTTCACTTGGGAATACCTCAATTTTCCTATTTTTTTTTTAAAAACAATAGTGAATTATGACCCAAATGCGCAAAACCTACTTTTGGGAATTATTAGTTAATGTGAACTTTCTAGATCACAACACATGCAAACTATATATAAGATGCAAAGAAAGTACTCATTGACTTCATAATCATAAACCTCATGTATTTTCTGAAATGCCTTGTGACAAAACCATTTCCTAATGATTTTATTCTTGAGTATACTAAAAGATAGAAGGTGTAATTAACTTCAAGTAAGATCTTTAAAGACAAGGACAAACATTTTGCTACAGTTACTTCATTCTCAGACTGATTACAAGTAGCCATTTCCAAACCTAAGGGATCAGTTAGTGAACTGATGTTCAGGGTAAAGTGAGCAGAGCACACCTATGTGAAAGATGCTACAAAGTCATTGAAACTTCCTGGATGTGGGCAGTTGGGATAAGACAGATCCAGAGACAAATTATCTTTACCTCTCTTATTGATCATTCATTGCTCCATCCCTGACTTTATATCATGTGACTCTCAGATGAAGCTTTGGTGATGTATTGGCTGAAAAGGTCAATAGGTTCCATCTACTCAAACACTAAGAATGCCATCAGATAACATCGGAGACTAAAACAGAGAATTCCCTGCTTTGCTGCAACTAACCTACCTGATGTTCTCACTGACAGAGTTGAGAAGTGCCTTGTTCATCGATTCCTTTGTTCTTTAACTACAAATATCACTAAACAGTCCTCATGTTGTAACATAATATTTGTATGACCTGAATCTGTGTGCCCATGTCATGGTCACTCATGTTTGATTCTAGAATAAACTCTTATTCACTTTAACGGGAGAGTTGTGCTTTGAGTTTACAAGACAGTTTCTGTCTCCTTATTCAGAAAAAAATAATTGATTTACTAAGCAGTTAATATTGGTCTGATATGTTAGGGGAAATTCTTCATACCAAATACTCTCATGGAAAATGTATGTAATCCAATTCCAAGTGACTTCTCTTCAGACTTGATGCACCTGTAAAATATATCCATCCATACATATATACGTGTATATACACACATGTATATACACACATGTATATACTTTTATGCTTGCATACATATCTGCCCTCTCTTCTCCCAATAACAGTGGGAGCTCATGATTTTAGTGTTTAAGCTTTTTGTCCTGTAAAGCTCTACCTCTTTTAAGCCCTCAGAGAGAAAGGAGAGTAAGCACTTCTGAAGGCTGGCCTTCACACATCTAATGTAGGGCTGAGATAAGTAACAGACATTGTCTGCTACCCGAGATGAATAGTTTCCTGGTTACCATGGTGACCACCATGCCACACACACCATAATGGACCCACATCTTTGAAACCAAAACCAAATAAATCTTTACTTTCTTAAATTGTTTGCCAGGCATTTGGCCATGTTAATAAAAAGCAAATCCATGTCACATAAAAATTCAAAATATGGTATATGCAGTCCCACAGATAAACAGAGAAAGTACCCATTTTGTATGCTATGGCATTAAGAAAAAGACTATGTTATATGGATTTAACAATTTTAGACATTTCTCTGTCCTATTCTGTCTACACTATCCTTAGCCCCTGTGGGCCCAAATCTGAGAGTAGAGAACAAGAGTAATCCTTGTGCTTTCCCATTAGGCCTCCTAGAGAGTGACTGCATCCTCAAGTGAGTGAGTGCAGAGCCCCAGATCAAGGGTCCCTCTGTGCTAGCAGAAAGACATTGGATCCCTCCCATAAACAGTCCAACTGTGGGCAATGAAGGATTCTTGGGACAGCATTCTCAACATTGAAGCCCCTGTTCTATGGGTCTACCAGTGGAGTCCAGGCAAACAATTCCTTGAGCCCAGGCAGATCTGAACACCAGGAAGACAGGATGACAGGCCTGCAGGCCACTGAGGTATTCAGGAAACATGCACATGCACATTGCACCTGTGAACAGCGCCAAAACCCGCACACCCTCCCTTGCTTATGCCCCACATTCTAGGCATCTACACTCTCTTCAAGGCACACATCCACACCCACGCCCACCCTTGATCACCTGCACTTGTACACCTGTGCTGCAACCTTCCTCCCTTAGCTACAGCTGAAACACCAACACACAAACTCAAACCACTGGATTTCTCTCATCTTCCCTGAAGAATATTCCAGAGACCAGAGAAGGACCCAATCTGAAGTACAGACTCCAGGAATAAACAGTTAAGGTTATGGATAAGCAAATGGCTAGAAGTTGGCATAAGAACACATCAACAAAAATCAGGACATAATGGCCTCGCCAGCAATCCCCAAAATCAATGGATATTTGAATTCATTGGAACCACAGGAAAATGATTTTAAATCTATGCTTATCCAGTTTTTAAAGGCACATAAAGAGGAAATGAATAAATCTCTCAAAGAAATAACCAAACAAATGGAGGCAGATAAAGAGGAAATGAACAAAGCTCTCAAAGAAATACAGGCAACTGCATCCAAACAATTAGTGACATGGGTAGAGGCACCATTGGTGGCATATAGAGAAGAAATGACCAAAAAAAAAAAAAAAAGAGATCATCATAGAAAGACAGGAATCCACATTCAAACAGATGAAGGAAATGGTGCAAGACATGAAAACAGAATTAAAATCAATAAAGAAAACACAAACAGAAAAAAATCTGGAGCTGGAGAACTTAAGAGAAACCACAAAGGTAAGCATTGTCAATAGAATACAAGAGATGGAAGAGAGAACTCAGGTGCTGAAGATACAATTGCAGAAATTGACGCACCTCTCAAAGAAAAAGTAAAACTGAAAAAGTTCCAAATACAAAACATCCAAGAAATCAAGGATGCCATGAGAAGACAAAATCTACGAATAATAGGAAGTGGTGAAAAAGAAGATTCCAGGCTCCAAGGTCCAATAAATATTTTCAAGAAAATCATAGAAGAAAATTTTCCCAACTTAAAGGAAGAGATGTGCATAAACGTAGAAGAGGCCTACAGAACACCAAATAGACACCAAATAGACCAGAAAAGAATCTCCTCACATCATATAATAATCAATACACCAAATCTACAGAACAAAGAAAAAATATTAAAAGTAACAAGGGAAAAAGGCCAAGTAACATATAAAGGTAGACCTATCAGAATCACACCAGACTTCTCATCAGAAACTATGAAAGCCGGAAGGGCCTGGGCAAATGTCACACAGACTCTAAGGGACCACAGATGCCAACCCAGACAAGGCTTTCAACCAACATAGATGGAGAAAACATTATATTCCACGACAAAACTAAACTTACACAATATCTACACAGTAACCCAGCCCTACAGGAAATACTAGAAGGAAAACTCCAATCCAACAAAAACAATTGCACCCATGAAAACACAGGATATAGATAACTTCACAACAAAAAAATTAAAAGAAAACAAACATAGAATCACTGTAACACCACCAACTCCACACACACAAAAAAAGAACTAACATTCATTGGTCACTATTATCTTTCAACATCAACAGACTCAACTTTCCAATAAAAAGACACAAACTAACAGAACGTTTGTGGAAACAAGACCCAACATACTGTTGTGTCCAAGAAAGACACCTGTGCAACAAAAATAAACACGACCACAGAGTAAAGGGCTGGAAAAAAATGTTTTTAAAGCAACCTCAGAGTAAAGGGCTGGAAAATGTTTTTAAACCAAATGGACCCAGAAAACAAGCTGGAATAGCCATCCTAATATCTAATACAATACACTTTCAACCAAAATTAATCAAAAAAGATGAAGAGGGGTACTTCATTCTCATCAAAAGAAAAATTCACCAGAAGGACATCACAATCCTGAACAACTATAGCCCAAATAAAAGATCACGTGTGTTCCTAAATGAAACATTAATAAAGCTTAAATCACACATCGATCCCAACACCTTAACAGTGGGAGACTTTAACAATCCATTCTCACCAAGGGACAGATCATCTAGACAGAAGCTAAACAGGAAATAAAGGCACTTACAGAAGTCCTAAATCAAATGGACCTAATAGATGTCTACAGAACTTTTCACTAAAACTAAAAGAGTATATCTTTTTTTCAGCATGTCATGGAACATTCTCAAAAATTGACCATATAGTTGGGCACAGAGCAAGCCTCAACATATACAAGAATATCAAAATAATCCCTTGTATCCTATCAGTCCACCATGGCCTAAAACTAGACCTCAACAACAACAGAAATAACAAAAAGCCTACATACTGGAAACTAAACAAGTCTCTATTCAATGACAGGGAAGAAATGAAAAAAGAAATTAGCGACCTCCTCAAATTCAATGAAAATGAAGGCACAACTTATGCAAAATTACGGGACACAATGAAAACAGTGTTAAGAGGAAAGTTCATTGCACTAAGTGCCCCCAGAAAGAAGCTGAAGACACATTATCCAAGTAACTTAATGGCACACCTAAAAGTCCTAGGGAAAAAAAAAAGAAGCAGGCACACCCAAGAGGAGCAGACAATTGGAAATATTCAAACTCAGAGATGAAATCAATGAATTTGAAACAAAGAAAACAATTCAAAGAATCAGTGAGACCAAGAGCTAATTCTTTGAGAAAATTAACAAGGTAGACAAATCCTTAGCCAAACTAACTAAAAGCAGAGAGAAACTATCCAAATCAGCAAAATCAGAAATGAAAAGAAGGACATGAAAACTGAGGAAAGTCAACCAATCATTAGGTCTTACAAAAGCCTATCTGTCACACAATTTGAAAATCTAAAGGAAATGGAAAATATTCTTGATAGATTCCATTTTCTAAAATTAAATCAAGGTCAGGTAAACAAATTAAATAGTCCTATATTCCCCAAGTAAATAGAAGCACTTATAGAAATTCTTCCTGCCAAAAAAGGCCAGGGCCAGATGGTTTCAGCACAGAATTCTACCAGACCTTCAAAGAAGAGCTAATTCTTTTCAAACTATTTTTTAACAATTTTATTATTATTATTATTATTATTATTATTATTATTATTATTATTAATTACACTTCATTCATTTTGTATCCCCCCATAAGCCACTCCCTCCTCCCCTCCAGAACCCACCCTACCTCCCTTTTCTGCATGCATGCTCCTCCCCATGTCCACTGAAGGGGAGGTCCTCCTCTCCTTCCTTCTGATTTTAGTCTATCAGATCACATCAGGAATGGCTGCATTGTCTTCTTCTGTGGCCTGGTAAGGCTGCTACCCCCTCACAGGGAGGTGATCAAAGAGCAGGCCAATCAGTTTATGTCAGAGGCAGTCCCTCTTCCCATCACTATGTAAGCCACTTGGACACTAAACTGCCATGGGCTACATCTGTGCAGGGGTTCTAGGTTATCTCCATGAATAGTCCTTGGTTGGAGTATGAGTCTCTGGGAAGTTCCCTGTGTTCAAATTTTCTTGTTCTGTTGCTCTCCTTGTGGAGTTCCTGTCCTCTCCAGCTCTTGCTATTTCCCACTTCTTACTTAAAATTCCATTCACTCTGCCCTCCAGTTGGCCATCAGGCTCAGCATCTGTTTTGATAGTCTGCAGGGCAGAGGATTTCAGATGCCCTCTGTGGCAGGTTCCTAGGTTGTTTCTGGTTTCTTCTTCTGGCTTTCAGAGGCCCTCTGTAGCAGGTTCCTAGGTTGTTTCCTGTTTTCTTCTTCTTCTGATGTCCATCCTCTTTGCCTTTCAGGATGGGGATTGAGCGTTTTAGTTAGGGTCCTCTCTTTTGCTTAGTTTGTTTAGATGTACCGATTTTAGTGGGTTTATCCTATGTTGTATGTTTATAAAGAACTAAAGAAGCTGAAAAGCAATAAACCAAGTAATCCACTTAAAAAATGGGGAACAGAGCTAAACAGAAAACTCTCTGTAGAGGAATATCGAATGGCAGAGAAGCATTTAAAGAAATGCTCAACCTCATTAGCCATTAGGGAAATGCAAATCAAAACAACCCTGAGATTTCACCTTACACCCATCAGAATGGCCAGGATCAAAAACTCAAGTGACAACACATGCTGGAGAGGTTGTGG